TTAGACGATTTACACAATACCGTGCACAACAGCTCCTCATCACTGATCAGTGCTGGCTTACTATCAACCTACTTAATTGCACTTGACGTTTGAGCACGGCTCGCCTAATTGTAATTGGTCAGCAGATTGCACACGACCATATCGGCCGCGCTTCAAAGATTTTCATTCTCGCCGTCTTGTACTTTTGCTTTCGAAACCCCCCCTGGCTCCACAACGTTGCCCTATTCGTGCTCCCACGGAATCTATTAGAGTAGATTTGGGACATAGCCATGGTTAATATAGCACATAAGAACACGTACAGATCTCTCCCTTTTATTGATAGCAACTCACCGGAACAGCTGGACGATCCAGAACTCCGTGGCCGATATATATAAATGATCTAAAGGCTTCTACGCGCGACACACGTTCAGAACTTTGGCGCGGCGTCAATTCTTGACCGGTATCCAAGCGTGCGCAGGCACAAAGATGCATCACTCGGCGTGCCAAGGAAGCTTTGAACACGCCGCCAGCCCTTCCTTTCGACGCGTTGTGCCTTTTTCCTGCGACACTGCACTTTCGTAAAATTTTTCACGTGTTCACGACGGCAAGTCTCAACAATACACAGAGTCTTCAAAAAAACTTCTTCGGCGAATGACGACGAACGAGTAGAAAACGTGTCCACAGCACGCTGGAAAACCGCAGCAAAGGCTAGCAAAAACGGCAAATCGTATCCCAAGCGAGCGAAGTCCGGTGGCTTCACTTGCGGGAGCGGCAAGCGCGATCCAGCAATTGTCATTGAGATCAGTGGAGCTGCCGGTGGTGGCAACGTGAATAGATGGATGCTGGCGGCTGTGTCCCCTTATGTTGGGCGTTAGCTTGCGCCACCTAGCCTAGAAACCTTTCTGCACCTGTCAAATTCCGCGTCGAATTTCTGTATCCTGTAAGACTGTATAACAGGTATAACCTATTAATTTTGTGTGCAATTTCACACTTCCCTCGATCTCTACTACCAATCTTGTAATCCCGTATTTGCGACTGTTTTGTGGCCCCGTCGACCACCAGAAGTAGCGGACGATCGGCGTGGATTGTCGCAGCCGCAACTGTTTTGTTTCTTTGAGCTTACGTTCGAATCGCCGATAACGATCTTGCATGCTTGAAAACATTTTATTTGTCTCCACGTTTCGAAACAAAAACGACAAGACCTACCGCGAGCACGTTTCCCATCAATCACTCCTTACGCCAAATTTTCGTCTCCGATGATCGACAACCGTATTTTCTTTCTTCGGCTTTTCTTCCTTAAAGGGAAGCTGAAACACTTCTTGAAAAAAAAGGAGTTAGAGGTGAATTGCGGCGTATTTATATCCCGTGAATCTGAATATCACATTCGTTTTCCCTGAAGATGCAACTAAAAGCGAGAAAACGCAAAAAACTTCCGACCAGTCGTGACGTCATACTAGGATCTTTGGGCCGCCAAGCGCATGCCGCTCGTGTGGGCAGCGCGTGCAATGACAAGCTTGCCAGGTGTATTTTTGCTGACTGTCACACCGATTTATCACGACACAAACCTTGCTATGAAACATATCAAAGCATAAACGATAGTACGCTTCAACTTTTTAGAACGAGTCTCGAAGATATGAACTGGGATCATGTTTATCAGGAAACCGATCCAGAGAACGCGTATAATGCTTTTATTACTACATTTACATCATTATATCTTCAGTGTTTCCCATTTAAAACATACAAAATACCAAGAAAAGCGCGCAAGCCATGGATTACTAACGAATGTTTAAACATGATTCAACGAAAAAACTTCCTTTACAATCGCTTTATTCGCAGTAGACGCTTAGATGACCTTGCAAAATTTAAAACTTACAGAAATAGAGTCACGTCTTATCTTCGTCAGGCCAAAAAAGATTACATGCACAGATTATTTAACACAGACATATTGAAAAGAAGCGATCTCGTCTGGAAACAAATAAACCAGATTTTGAATGTCAGAAAAGCCACAAATCACACTATTGAAATTACATCAAATAATGAAAAACTATCCGGAAAAAAATTAGCCGACTCCTTTAATGACTATTATGTGTCCTTAATTAAGAGCGACCATGATCCAAATTGTACGACGTACTTGGGCCCGCGTAATTCCCACAGTGCTTATTTGTTTCCAACGGACGCAAATGAAATTATAAGTTCTTTTTTGACTCTCCGCAACAGTAAATCACGTGATCCGCATAATCTACAAATTTACCCCATAAAACATGTAATAGATTTAGTCAGTCCTGTTTTGGAGCATATATTTAACAGCTGCCTCGCGCAAGGAGTATTTCCTAAGAGCATGCAAATGGCCAAAGTAACTGTAATTCATAAAGGAGGAGATAAAAATGATATATCTAACTATCGTCCAATATCAGTTCTTCCAATTTTTTCAAAATGCCTAGAGAAGATAATTTACAAGCGAATTTGCGGTTTTTGTGATAAATATAGCCTATTAACACCCTGCCAACACGGTTTTCGAAAGCTTCGCTCAACAGAGACCGCCCTTCTCACTCAAAAAGAGCTCATTTTGGAATCTTTTGAAAACAGAGAAATTACACTTGGTGTGTTTATTGATTTTTCAAAAGCGTTTGACCCCATAAACCATAAAACACTCCTTTTAAAACTTGATTCCTACGGTTTTCGTGGTACATTTTTACAAATAATCAAATCATATCTAGATTTTCGCTGTCAGCAAGTTGTAATAAATAACGAATTATCAGACCTCAAACCCATTTTTGCCGGTGTTCCTCAAGGGAGCATATTAGGACCTTTACTCTTTAATCTTTACATCAACGACATTGTTCTTATTGATTCTAACCCCACATACGTTATTTACGCCGACGACACCAGTTTATTCTTTAGAGGCGCACAAGTGTCGGACCTCGAAGAACAAGCTTCCCATTGTTTGCGCTTGCTTCAAAACTGGACGATTTCAAATTCGTTAACCATAAACACAAGCAAATCTCATGCAGTACTTTTCAGACCCCGAAATAAATATCCTCATGTTCCCACTCTTGACCTTAAGCTTGGCTCAGAATCCATTCAAATTGTTTCAGTGGTAAAAAACCTAGGAGTGTTATTTGAAGAGCATCTCACATGGAATCAGCATATTGATATGACTGCCAAAAAAATCTCCAAAATTGTAGGTGTACTGTCTAAATTACGTTATTTTATGCCTCAATGTATTAAGAAACTTTTGTACAACTCATTATTTTTCTCTGTAATTTCTTATTGCTTTTTGGTTTGGGGTACAACGACTTTCTCCAACATCAACAAACTGCATGTAATCCAAAAACGAGCCATTAGAATCATAGCAAACATACCATACGATGCCCATACTAAGTCCGTTTTTGAAACACACAAAATACTCCCTATACCTCAATTACATAACGATATTTTACTAAAACGATACAATATGAGCATCAGACAACATAACATGGCAGTTTTAAACTTATCACATCTACAACGTAAGGTATACATACACGATATACGTTCCACTTGTCACTGGATTATTCCACAAACACGTACAAATTACGGTCGTCAGATGCTTCGTTTTAACTTACCTTCTTTATTAAATAATCTAAATGTTGATTAGCACTTGCAAGTCACAGTTTGTTCTATTTTTTCTGTTGCTGTACCGCTCTTACAGTGTTTTGTTCGCGAAATTGAGACGCACTTCCAATGTGATTATCTATTTTTGTTATGACGTGCCCCTGTTGCAATGCTAAGTTTTTGTAGGGGGCGCAGACCCTTAGTCAAGCCTTTTATAGGCTTTTTGTCTGCGCCCCCAACATCTGTGCGATGTTGAATAAAGATTTGATTGATTGATTTGATTGATTGATTGATTGATATTTTTCCGCACTGATGGCAGTCGTGACGTCTCTTTTGAACCTTTTTGAAAATAGCAAGAGTTCGCGTGCATATCTTTGACAGGCGCTGAAGATGCGCGAGAGCAGAGATTCTGAAAACTCCTAGTGTGACGTCACGCCCCGAAAAGGAGGGGCTTCGACGGTACTTTAAAAATTAATTTCTGAAGCCTCTGTGCACCAAATTGAAAAATAATCTTGCTATTCCTGATCTTGGAGGTCAAATGAAGGCCATTGAAGTCTTTTTTCTCAAATACAAAACCGCTTCAGTTTCCCTTTAAAATCGCATTTACGTCTATCCCAAAGGAATCGATGGGGTCTCCCCGTTTCGAGCAGCACCTCAGCGGTAAATCCAAATCACTGTACATCCGTTGTTCAAGAGCCGTAAACATCACACAATGCGCCCGTCGTCTCGCTGGCCTCGCTTCTTCCCGAAAAGTGCTTTGTCGGTTTCGTCCATAGGGCGTTATGACACAGAACGGTCCATTCCCCCTCCCGCGGCCGTGCCCATGGTCACCCAACTTTTGAAAATCCGCGGGCGTGCTCAGTTGCCGCTCTGCCTTCGCTGATTGTTCTTCGCTTTTGGTTTTCGTAATAGCGGTGCTCGAGCTATGATGTGTGCGTGTAGTTAGAACGATTGATGCGGTTACCTCCACGAGTGATATGGATGTGGTTCCTTCCACGAGTTGTATGGATGTGGTTCTTTCCATGAGTGATATAAATGACCTTATCCATAAATGATATGGATGACCGTATTCACGTATGATATGAATGACCGTATTCTGACAGGCAGAGTTGAGAAAACGGGTGAAAGAAATTACAGGAAGATCCATTGGTGGATCCTTAGCGAATGAGTTAGCATGACCCTTGGAAACGTCACACATGTTCCCCTCGGGGAACACTTGCACTGACCCCGCAACAAGGACAAAAAGAGGGCAATACACCATATAAAAAAAATTACCGGAAGATACACTAAGCCTGCAGCAGCATAAGAGCTGCAGAAAGGGCTCCTCAACTCATATAAAACAATCTTTCACAAGCATTCGCTATCAAAGCACGGGCGTACCAACTCGTTGGTCTTGGAATGCAGAAAAAACAACACCCACTCAAGAACACTTCTTGTATTTTGACATTTTTATTTCATATCAAGAAAAATTTGCATCGCATACAACGTAGAGAACTTAGAGCGCTTGTTTTCACTGTATTTTTATCTTTATAGAATCCTACTGCAAAACAAAGTATTATAACATCTAGCGATCTCTGGACGCATACACTTCAAGTGGTACATAACATATTGCACGAGGCAAATACATTGAATGAAGCTAGTCTTAAAACCTAAGTTAAAGTTAGGGACCATCACTTTCCCCAATTGTGAATGACGTCGAGATTCAGAGTGAAACCCTATCTGATCTTAAGCCAAATTTAATCGTAGCAGCGTGACCTCAAGCTCCAACAGAAATAAAGGTGGGGTTTTCTGATCAAACATGAGGGAAAGGAACAGAGCTCACAGCTGCACCGAGCAGATGGAGGTAGGCGCCGTAGAATATCTGCGGCAACACGGTCAGAACCTTGTCCTCGAAATGCTGCCTGAACTTCTTCTTGCGTTTGTCGTTCAGGCTGAGTGCCTTGTCGTTCTTGACTTTCACGTGAATCTTGTCCACCAAGAAGGTGTGAACATTGCCCTGCTTGCCGCGCTCGGCGACGGCTTCGAACTCTCCCGTAGTGTCGATGACGCTAGCGCGGACCCAAATGTTTTTATCCGAGGCCACAATGTTGTCACCCCGCGTCTGAAAAGTCAAACAGTTTGCATCAATTTATCAGCAAACTATAGTTGCAGTTGCTGGCAGGCTGAGATCGGTAGATCATACCTTTCAAATCACCTGCCTCCAGCACTAAGATCCAAGATCACCGGATCTTGGAAAAAGTAGTGCCAAGCTCTCTGTATGTTCGCCATTTTAGTTCATGGAATGAGCAGTGTTTCCTTGGCCTCTCGAATCTTTGTGAGCCGATCCGAATTCCCCTTGACAGGTTGCTTTATCGAGACATTACTTAACTTCCGAGTTTTTGTTATGCAGACCCCGGCAAAACAAGCGCACGTCCCGCACCTCCACGAGATGCGGCGTCAGTGCTTGGCGACATCGAAAAATAATTTTATTGTCTTGGAATATGCAAGATAAATACTATTGTAACAGATCTGTGAAGATAAGCATTATTAATCAGTGTATTGCTCGCAAGCAACCAAGAGGTTTTTATTAGCGAGGAACGGTTTGAGTACGATTGTGCTCCATGGCAATCTTGGCACCTCTGGTTCAAAATGGCTCTTTCGAAGCTTCGAAGATTTCAAAGGGCCGAAATGACGATTGCCATGGCAACTGAAACCGATCAGCCGATCAGCTTGCGGGGTTTGGTCGTCTGTATGTTAGTATCTGCTAGTATCTAGCAGGCAGGGAAGGCAATGGCGCTACTTTCCCCAGTATCCAGTTACTTTAGCCAGCACGGGCCCGTTGCCTTCTGTCGCGCCGATGCCGAAGCAGTATCGAAGGCAGGAAGGCTGGAGGCGGAACAACTGACAAGTGATGAACCTGCCTTTCTCATCCTGGCAGTGACTATAAACCATTTTAATAATTCCTTTCTGTGCCGCCATTTTTATCCGCTGGGCTGTGGAGTTTGTTCTGAGGGCGCGCAGCACCTTTTTTCTAGAGAATATCAAACGCCCCCGTATCTGTCCACAGCTCCCTGATTCAGCATTTTTCGCCTGGGTTACAAGTGCTGAAAATGTGCATAGTGGGAAAGACTAGTAAGTGTGTTTCGTGCATCCTTATACGGCCGGAAGTTAGCCAGCCCCAATGGGCGTCGGGTGTCTCAGTTGTAGGTAAGAAATTCGCCAGTGCAGTAAAACCGCTAGCCTGGGGTTTCTAACGTGCCTCCCTGCCTGCTAGCCAGACACAAACCGATAAAAACATAGAGACGACCATACTTCGCAAGGTGGTTGGCTGATCCGTTCTCAGTTGCTATTGAAATCGCCATTTTGCTCCGTTCAAATCTTCGAAGCTTCGACAGGGTGGTTCCGAACTAGTCGTGCCAAGATCGCTATGGAGCATCATCGTACTGAAAGCGTTCCTCGCCAATATGAGCGTCTGTGACGCTGAGTATGCATTTTACTTATCAGATCATGCTTCTTTTCACAGATCTCTTACTATGGTATTGTTATTATTGCCTATTTAAAGAGAGGAAATTTATGTTTGAACGCTGCCAGACACTGGCCTCGTATGTTGTGGCGATGCAAAGATATGCGCTTGTTTCGCCGGTGTGCAGACAACAAAATATCGATATTCAAAAAACTCCTTTAAAAAGCTACCCGTCACCAGCGAATTCAGAGTGACTCATCACAAATGTAGAGGGCAAGGAGAGACTGCTCATTCCATGACCCAAAATGATGAGCATGCGAGGAGCTTGGCGTTACTTTCCCACGATCCAGTGATATTAGTGCCAACATAACCCCCCCCCCCCCCCCTTTCTGGTAAACCTCACCCTTATATTAAGCAAATCGGCGCTTATTCATTTTCATTGCTCTCCCACGCTCGCGTATTCCGGCTCCTGGGAGTAATTATGAAATTTTGGCGCGATCTCGACTATCCGGTGACACATCCTAACAAATCGATCCGAGCTCATGAACAGATTACTTCAAATTCACTTAATTAAAACACAAAAGACAGACAAACGACCACTTTATTTCAAAAGGAGTGGTCGTCTACCCATTTCTTTCGCGTTTCTTTTCTTTCAACTGAAGTAAAAGCTGGCTCACAAAGACTACAGAAAGAATAATGTGCTTAAGACAAAGAGACGATGGACCCCACTTCTTGCAACTCGCAAAAACACCGACGCAGTTAATCTCCTCGCAGAGTATTTTTGAACCCACCCCTGCCCAGAAGGAAGAAAAAGGAAGCGATATAGTAATACAGGATAAACGGGGACAAAAAAACAATGTTATCCTTTGTGTTACTCTTTCTGTCGTCTTCATCCAAGAAAAACAACACGCTCCCAAGTTTATATTCTGGCTCACACATTTGCGTTTTACTGTGTCCAAAAGCACTGACAATTCTCTTGACCGCTTTACGACAAGGGGACACACAGCAGATCAGCGAAACAGACTGGAACACTGGCGCTATCACTCAGGTAGCCCTGGAACTTCGTATAACTAAACTCATGGCTTTGCAGTATTTGCGAAATCAAATACGCGCAATATCTAGGGAAATGGTCTCTTAAAACATTGTTAAGAAGAATTTTAAGCCCGTGATTAACAAATATTATGTAAAAAATAAAAAAAAATAAACGAAAATTATAAGTGTTTCCCGATAGAATGTGCCAGTCAGGTTCTCACCTAAAGTTCCTTAGTGCGTTTCTGTTTGCAAGTAGCATCAGATGCGCCACTGCACGAGGCGCATGCTTCGTGTAGTCCTTGCAAGCAAATGGTGGCGATCCACTAAACAGAGCGGCCCTTGGAAGCAAATGGAGGTCTCGTTCGTGGCAAGCGTCTCGCACATACACAACACTGCTTGACGGTATACTTGTAAAAAACGCGAAACCTGAATTTTATCAAAGGGCTTTACATTCGTCATAAGCGGTCACGAGAAATCACAACGCACTCCGCCAAAATCAAACGCAAAGGTGCGAACCAACTTTAAGACACACCCTAAACCTAAGTCTGCAGCGATAGGGCGACAGACGCTTTGGTTCAAACTAGGCAAGGGAACGTTTTTTTCGATGCTTACGTGCGTGTCGAAGGTAGCGTTGATTCCGGTGAAGTTGAGGGTGCACCTGATGGACGTCTTGCCTTCCCTGAGCACAGGCGGCATGCAGTCTCCCACACGCTTCACCTCAGTGTTGAAGCCCCGGATTTCACCTCGGGACACGTTCACTTGTAGTTCCCGGTTCGTCAGGATGTTGGTTCCGGCCACCTGTTTTCGCAACGAGAGACGCCACCCGTATTATATTACTTCCACTCACTCAAATAACAGAATTATTTTCGTCTTCTTTTAGCCTTGGAAGCTTTAAAAAAGCCGATGTATAACCTTACTTTTCATTCTTTGACCAGAGTCTGGGTATGTCGGCCCTAAATAGCCCAATAAATGCAAGAGTTGAGCCAGGGTAACACTGCTTATACATCATACAAAAGACAGTCTGCATACAAATTCGAACCCGAGTCACCGCGAGATCCGTGCTTCGAATGCTGCGTGGCAATAAGTTCAAGGACAAAAACTTGGCACGCGGCATTCGAACCATGAAAAATGCGGTGACTAGTACGTTTGTAGACTGCAGAGGCTCCGGAAGTCTTTCTTTGGAGGGGGGGGCTCGACATCTCCGAAATCCTCAAGGTTAGGTTGGTTCCAGGTTGACATTAATTGCCATATTTGAATGACAACATATTAAATCAGCGCGTTCGCATATTCACGCACATGTCCATGGAAAAGCAAAGTAAAACAATGGTTCAGTAAAATAACAGTAAGAAGCTTGCACTGACAACTCATACAATGATTGGATAACCACTTAAATCACGAAAGTAATCCCTGGAGAAGGTGAACAAGAGGGACAAAGGACAAACATAAATCTCCAAAACACAGCTAGGTTACTTTCGTCATTCTTGTCCAGCTCGCTTGCACCTTTGCATTTAATTGCATTATAATAAAAACACTTAAATCAGCCGCCTCATGTGTTCCTTATTCTTTTATTTCCTATACCAACTTTTACATATCAACCGCAGCTGTGCCTATGGCGAATTGGCTATGTTTGAAAAGGAAGACGTTCCTTCATTTAGGGATTCTCGGGGAACCATGATGTAGACAAACGCAGACGTAGACAAACTAATGTTAAAAGTTTTAGACAAAACCCCGAGACTCGCGGGAACAAAAGGACAACACAACACGAAGTCTCAAATACAGCAAGTTGGACCATCGAATTCTCAACTGGAGGCAGAGATTGCATACATCGGTATGTGCCTCAGGATCAAGTACATCGACCGTGATCGCTTCGGACTCCTGGCGTCAATGCAAGTTGGGGGGAATCAAAAAAGGAAGGTGCTGAAGGAAAAGAGCTGCGTTCGAGACTTCGTGTTGTGTTGTCCTTTTTTGCCCGCGAGTCTCGGGGTTTTGTCTAAAATGTTAAACTTTCAACAGCTTGCTCGCGCCCTAACTTTTTGTTTGTTTAAAGTAACTGGAATACAATGTCAAAGGTATCATTGCACAGTCATATTCATTTAGGTTAACTACGCTTTTGGGGAGAGAACCCATTGCGACTGTAAAACGTTAAGGAAGAACACATAACGAAGGGTCAGAACATAACTATCTCGTAAACGCGGTTGTGTCCTGTTCCTGCTCTAATAATATAAACCTTAAATAATGACGTATCTTACGAAAACGATCGTACTTAGTTTACTTGAGCTGTGGTACAGGTAATTAGAATTAACCTTTCCAAGGAAAAAATACGCTGACACGTTTCGGTATACATTCTACATACATGTTCCGTTCATTCAATAGAGTGGATACGTATGCGGTCTAAAAAAATGTTTCATTAAAAATATGATGATGCCAGATTAAACCACGTCAAACAGAAGAAAAGGATCAACGCGAACAAGTATACATGAACATTTCGCGGAAAGTTACCCCAGGCATCCCGCCACATATAGAGATATGATTCAGCACTGTCAGAAAAAAAACAAAAAAACGTAATGAGCAGAAGGTGACACAAGAGCTCCGTTTGTGTGCGAATCAATTATATACACAAAACGCAACACAAAATAAACAAGCCAAAAATCATAAATGACAAGTTTCAACAAGGGTGCGTTGCCTCGTATAAAGCCAGATACGTAGTCCTTGCGTGCATCTCGTACCGAGTACGAATCAACCACACAATTATAAACTTTATCACGCGTGTATATTGAATAGTTGTTAACAAATATATGCGAGGCAACAAACCAACATTAAACACATTCAGGTTTAGGAAAGAGGCAAAAATATACACTGGCAGAGAATGCAGAGCGTCGGTCCACGACCGCTCGGTCTGCTGCGCGCGCTTGAGCGAGATCGAGGGGCCGCGGTCGGTGCGTCAAATTATAAACACGAAACTTCCCGTTTCGAACACGTTTTCGAAATAAGAAAAGAAACTATCCAACTAACATGGGTCAAACGTAGCTAAGCGCTCGGCTGTTTTGGCGATAAATGCAATCAGGACATTGTTAAGGCACAGCTTTCCAGTTCTTTGTCGGTGGGCATGCAGAAGAAGGAGATGCGTGAGGCGGGTCTGTGTCATGCGACTCCGTAGGTAAGTTTTTACTCGTCTCAATGCACTGAAAGAACGCTCCCCTGATGCCGCCGATGCTGGCACCGTTAGTAAAAGCTGCACAAGCCTGACAACTGCATGGTCCAAGAGATTCAGAACAGTTCGAGACTGGCTTCAGTGCTTCCGTGACATCATCGACTACGGTGACCTCTATGCCAGAAAGAACCGTTGCGAGGAGTAAAAGCTGTGCATTTAGCCTATCTAAATCAAAGTCGCTGCCATCGACGCCGAGCGCTCCTTTTAACTCCTTCGCATTGAATCGCTGTCCACGTGCACCGCTGACAAGCGTGCATTAGAGCTTTACCAGCAGCTCCATGCCAGCTCCACGTCAGTGCAAACTATGTATAAACTTTCTTTTTTTTTTTTTTTTGCACATTTAGATTAGTTAGGGACACCCACCTAGACAAACTTACCAAAGACACACGTTTGTTTGGGGGGGGGGGGGGGGGGGGGGCACTCCTATTATATATCTCAGAAAGAGAAAGCTGCAACAGCTTGTCAAAGCAGCGCTCATAAGTTGTTCACCGAGGTAAGCCGGCAGTCTAAACCTGAAGAACGAAATCGGTTTTCCATCCAAGTCGGTTTTGAACGGTCGCCATCACGTGTGGCCGTCTCTTCCTTAGTTATTTTATTCTCTTTTATCACTATCTTCTCAGCGCAGGTATCATCTAGGCTTTCCCGTCTAATCAGAACAGCCGAGCTACCGCCGAACAAAGGATAAACAAAGACACTGAAAACACTGTATGACAGCAGGAACCACACGACTAAAAAACAAAACCAGACCTAGAAAAACAGAGCCTAAATAAAACTCTGCGAGCTATTAGCGATGAGACGTTTCAGAGTCTCCCTCAGAACCTTTTTGCCTACTCGTCATGACTCATGACTCACCTAGAAACTGTGTGCGCTGTTATCAACGCAATTTCTAGAGTTTTATTCGCGTGATCTTAACCTTCCGTGAGCGAAATCATTGTATCCTTGCGTGATGCGCAAACTTAGGTAACTTCGGGTAATCAGTAAGCTGCAAGAACAGCGACGCTTTTGGCCGCGCAGATCGACAATATCTTAGCCTGGCTGAACCGGTTGCATCCACCTAGTGCTTTCAGGTTCCACGATACATGAATAGCATCGATCACGCATCTTAAAGCTAAGGGCACTAAGTGATACTGTCAATATTGTCGGCTTTTAACAGCCTTTTCTTATACTTTAGTTTGAAAAAGGGAGTCGAGATAAGGATAGGAAAGTACAGTGCTCCTCTCCAGCCTTAATGACGTCACTTGATTTCCCAGTTATTGAGATATTGCCGCTTGCTAAGAGATAAATAGGAAAACGGACCAGCTTGAATGCCTCCCCTGGATAGGGTAGTCACCGAGAAGTCAAAGTGTCACTAGGGAGGGCTATCTCTTGGCGACGTTAGGGTTGGGGGAGGCTGTACCAGCCAGTCTCTTTCCTACGAAGTTTCCATTCATACTCGAAAACCCAAACTCCTTTGGCTTTCGTTCTTGCGGAAATCCCCCTTTATGGTTGTGTTTCGTGACGCCTTCACAGTTTAGGAGCCTCCGCGTTCATTTTCTTGCAGAAGAGAAGGTTCATCCAATCACAGCGAACAACGAAGGAATTCTAGCTAACAACGAAGATCGGAATAGACGCCTTGCATTGACGTAATACTGTATACCTGCAAACAGGAGTCCTTCGCATATGGCAGCGTGACGTTGGGTGCGCAAACGTATCATGATTTCAAACACTCGTTGAGGCAAGTGACAACATAGCTTCCACTGCATTAATAGGGTGCTTGGTACCAAAGTACGACGGTAAAGAACGTCGTACGTCACGGGCAAGGCTATAAACAATTAGATATAAGAAATCCAAACCACAATAGGACAATCATGCAAGGAAAACGTCATACTCAGTGTCGCGGCGTACAAGGCATTGTGAAGTTTAATCTTATTCCAATCTTGATAATTCGCTAGAATTGTTCAGTTGTTCGTGGTGATTTTCTATGTAACCATCATCATCATAATACGTTTATTTGAGACCTGCCTTCTGGTCGGTGAACCCCCGCTTTTTGTGAAAATAAACGCTCCGTTTTTTTTTTTGTTTTCTTTTATGCTTATCATTTTATTTCAAATCCTTTCTTGTAAGTTGTGTTGAAACATGTACCGCTTGGAGAGAATATTAATAAAAAAATCGTCTCCTGGCAAAAAAATAAAAAATAAGTTGCAGCGCGACGTGTGCAGCACTTTTGAATCCGACGGTTGCAATGAGAGAGTGGGTCATCCCAACCATTTAACTACTTAATTATTTTCGCCTCAAACGCATTTTCCTAATCGGATGTTAAACTGAGGTTATAGAGGCGAAAAACAAATACCAGAAAATCATGAACTCGCATCGCCACTGCCCAGTGGCACGCACACAGATTTTTTTATCAACGCAGCGACGACTGGTGATAGCGCTAGACTTGGATAGTCACTGTAAAGGCCGATAATCATATACTCGTGGGCCACCATTTTTAACTACTTACATCCTCGTGGGCGCATCGGGTCCTCGTGTGCGCATCGGGTCGGTTTAAAACGCTTTATAGAGTCTAAGATTTTGGCATTGCGCAGCGGCTAAGCGCGGCTGAAAG